ACTCTCTCTTTCTCCACTTCCAATAATATGTTTATCACTTCTTTTTTAGTCCTCACTGACAGCATTCTTAAAGCCCAGATGTTTTTTTAACCAATTCCCTTATATTTGAAAGGGTTTTCTGTGGCTGGAAGTGGTGGCTCATGCCTGTCATCCCAGCACTTTAGGAGCCTGAGTCAGGAGGATTGCTTGAGCCCAGGAGTTTAAGACCAGCTGGGGCAACACAGTGAGACCCCAACACTGCAAAAAATAAAAAAAAATTAGCTGGGCATGGTGGTGTGAGTCTATAGTCACAGCTACCTGGGAGGCTGAGGTGGGAGGATTGCTTGAGCTTGGGAGGTTAAGGCTTCAGTGAGCTATGATTGTGCCACAGTATTTGTCTTTCTGTGCCTTCCTTAGTTCACTTAACATAATGTCCTCCAAGTTCATCCATGTTGTTGCAAATGACAGGATATCCCTTCTTTTTCATGAACCAATAGTACTCCATTGTGTATATGTAACATTCTCTTATCCATTCATCTATGATGAACACTTAGCTTGATTCCATATCTTGGCGATTGTGAATACTGCTGCAGTGAGCACCAAAGTGTAGCTAGGTATCTCTTTAAGATGCTGATTTTATTTTCTTTGGAGATCATCTCAGTGGTGGGATTGTTAGATCATATGGTACTTATATTTTTAAATTTTTTGAGAAACCTCCATACTGTTTTCCATAATGGCTGTATTAATTTACATTCCCTCCAACAGTGTACAAGGGTTCTCTTTTCCCCATATCATCACTAACACTTCCTATCTTTGGTTTTTCTGATAATAGCCATTCTAACAGGTATGAAGTGATATCTCCTTATGATTTTGATTTGAATTTCTTTGATAGTTAGTGATGCTGATCAACTTTTCACATATCTTGGCCATTTGTATGTGTTCTTTGGAGAAATGTCAATTCAGATCCTTTGCCTATTTTTAAATTGGAGTTTTGGTGTGTTTTTATTCATTTTTGTTTTGCTATTGAGTTGATTGAGTTCCTTATATGCTTTATATATTAACTCCTTATCAGATATATTGTTTGTAAATATTTTCTCCCATTCTGTAGGTTGTCTTTTCACTCTGTTGATTTTTTCCTTTGCTGTACAACTACTTCTTAGTTTGATGTAATTCCAGTTATCTATCTTGCTTTTGTTGCCTGTGCTTTAGGGGTCATATTAAAACAGTCATTGTCTAGGCCAATGTCATGAAGTTTTCTCTTATGTTTTCTTCTAGAATTTTCATAGTTTCAGGTCTAACATTTGTGCCTTTCATCCACTTTGAGTTGATTTTTATATATGGTGTGAGATAAGGATCCAATTTCATTCTTCCGCATTTGGATATCCAGTTTTCCCAACACCATTCATTGAAGAGACTGTTGTTTCCCCAGTGTCCCTTCTTGGTATTTTTGTCAAAAATCAGCTGGCTGTAAATGTGTTAATTTATTTCTGGGGACTTTATTTTGTTTCACTGTTTGACCTGTCAATTTTTATGGCAGTACCAGGCTGTTTTGATTATTGTTACTTTGTAGTATATTTTGAAGTCAGGTAGTATGATGGCTCCAGATTTATTTGTTTGTTTTGCTCATAATTGCTTTATCTATTCATAACTTTTTGTGGTTTCATATCAATTTTAGGATTGTTTTTCTATTTCTATGAAGAATGAGGCAGGCATGGTGGCTCACTCCTGTAGTCTCAGCACTTTGGGAGGCCAAAGTGGGAGGGTCATTTGAACCCAGGATTTTGAAAAATTAGCTCAGTGCAGTGGCATGCAGCTGTATCCAGACTGGTCAGAGGCTGAAGCAGGAGGATTCTTTGAGCCTGGGAGTTCAAGACAGCAGTGAACTATGATTGTGCCACTGTACTCCAGCGTAGGTGACAAAACAAGACCCCATCTTGGAAGAAAGAATGAAGGAAGGAAGGAAGGAAGGAAAAAACCCCATCTCAAAAGAAAAGAAGGAAAAGAAAAGAAAAGAAAAGAAGGGAGGGAAGAGGAAAGAAAGTTTAAAAGAAGAAAAGAAAAAGAAAGAAAGAAAGAGAAAGAAAGAAAGAAAAAAGAAAGAAAAAGAAAGAGAAAGAAAGAGAAAGAAAGAAAGAAAGAAAAAAAGAAAGAAAGAAAAAAAGAAAGAAAAAAAGAAAAAGAAAAAGAAAGAAAGAAAGAGAAAGAAAGAAAGAAAGAAAAAGAAAGAAAGAAAGAAAGAAAGAAAGAAAGAAAGAAAGAAAGAAACTCATTGGTATTTTGGTAGAGATTGCATTGAATCTGTAGATTGCTTTGGAAACTGGACATTTTAACAATATTAATTCTTCCAATCCATGTGCATGAGATCTCTTTCTATTTGTGTCTTCTTCAATTTCTTTCATCAGTGTTTTACAGTTTTTGGTGCAGAAATCTTTCGCTCCTTGGTTAAACTTATTTCTATGTATTTTTTTGTAGCTATTGTAACTAGGATTATTTTCCTAATTTCCTCTTCAGATAGCTTGCTGTTTGGGTATAGAAACAGTACTGACTTTTTTTTCCCAACAAATGATTTTTAACTTAGACAAATTCACACTGGGTTTTATCTCCTTTCCATAAATAAATAAATAAGGCTAATGGAAAATTAAAGAGTCAATACTTTTTTTTCTAAGAGCAAAAGAGAAAAATAAATAACCTGCCTTAGCGTGTAGTATGGGCTGGAGAAAAGAGATGCTGAAGATAAGCACAGCAGCAAGAGCCAGAATGGTAAAGAGAAAAAAAAAAAATAGTAAGAAACCAAAGATAAAGTGCTGAGTGGGAAAATATTACTTCTAAGAAGGGAATCTGATCCAGTACAAAGTCTGGGCTCTGGAGAAATGAGGCATGAGAAGGAAAAAAATAGGATAGCTCTTTTAAAGCCAAAGTCATGAACTGTTTACTCCAAATTAAAACAGTGAAGACCTGAGTTGCCTACTGTTTGGTGATATCTTGCCTTTCTGTTAGCTAAGCACTAGGATGGCTGAGCTGAGCTGCTGCAAATGTGACATACTGGGTTTGGGACTATGGTGTACACCTCCTTGTGCTATGTGCATGGCATGCCCTAATTGAGATTACGGTGTCTAGTTGGCTTGTCCTAGTGGCATCAGGAGAGGTATCCAGATCTGTACCTGAACCAAGATATTTGAATAAGTTACATAGGAGAAATTAAAAAGGCTTTTCTGAAAGTGAGTCAATGAGACTGGTGACAAGATCATTGAGGGACCTTAGGAAGAGAGAGGCGTAAATACCGATTCCAAGATGCTAGCTGAGACTCTGGATGAACACTGACACGTAAACTGTGATCAAAATTATGGAAGGCATTACACTGAAAGGCAAAACTGTAAGAAAACTTTAACTAATATAGTATTAGTTGAAAACTAAATGGAGATACCATGAAGATAACTAGAGCCATATTTGGTGTACACTTAAAATGCTAGAATATGTCCTTTAGATGTGCTGTTTGCATATAGGGTACAGAGAAGGGGACTTTTATCTTGTTAGGTCTTATTTCAGATGTATAATCGCTCTTTTTTCCCAGTGAATTAGGGATGTTCTATGTATTGCTTAATAGTAAAATATTTAAATGTAAAATTATTAGTATGCAATCTGTGTTAGTATAAATCGAGTACTTTCACTGAATCTCTGAAGATAAATATAACCATACAATGTTTAATTTTGACTGTCTTGCAGACCACCTGAACATCAATTAACAATCTAATAATAAGAGTAACAGTTTTGTGCTTAGGCACTGTTCTAAGTGCTACACATTCTGTCAACCTATTTAATGTTCACAGCTACCCTATGACGCAGGTACAATTAGTTCTCCCATTTACTGATGAGGAAACCAAGTCACTGGGAAGTTAACTTGCTGAAGTCATATAGCTAGTAAGTAGTAAAGCCAATATTAGATTCTTGGCAGTCTGATTCCAAAGCTTAAACTCAAATACTCGTCTTCACTGGCTACATGTTGTATATTCACATACACGCACAACACACACACAAAACTTAAGAAAACACTTATAAACAAAGTACTGTGAGATCTATAGATAAGAACATCCAGTCTTGCTGTTAGGAAATGTGGCTGGGAAAATAGAATATTTATATGTAAAAAGATAATAATAGAAGACAGTGTGTAGGAAGTGACAGATGGATGGCACAGACGAATCACTCTGCAGAGGTTGTGGAGAATGAGGCAGGGGTAGGTAATAGGACAGATGGTCTTAAACTGATGGATAGGACCTACCTGTACCATCTGGGTTCCTGCCCACCTCTCTGAACTTATCTTCCTGACATTCACCAAGTTCTAGCCACACCAACCTTCTTCGTGCTCCTCAAAATCCCACACTCATTTCTGTCTCACAGCTTTTACATTTGTTGTGTCTTCTGCCTGGACGACTCTTTCTTTAAATCTTGGCAAGGCTGCCTCCTTTATTATTCAGAAGTCAGATCATTGTGCCCTCTGATATGGTTTGGCTCTGTGTTCCTATGAAAATCTCGTCTCAAATTTTAATCCCTACATGTCCAGGAAGGAACCTGTAATCCCCATGTGTCAAGGAAGGGATGTGATTTGATCATGGGGGTGATTTCCCGCATGCTGTTCTTGTGATAGTGAGTGAGTTCTCATAAGATCTGATGGTTTTATAAGTGTTTGGATGTTCCTTCTACACTCTTCTCTGCGCTGCCTCCTTGTGAAGAAGGTGCCTGCTTCCTCTCCACCTTCTGCCATAATTGTAAGTTTCCTGAGGCTTCCCCAGCTATGCAGAACTGTGAGTCAATTAAACCTCTTCCTTTGTAAATTACCCAGTCTTGAGTAGTATCTTTATAGCAGTGTGAAAACGGACTAATACACCCTCCTTAAAGAGAACTTCTTTGATGACCCAAACTAATATAGTGCCCTATTCCTACCCCAGTCCATTAGCCTGTTTAATTTTATTCATGACTCTTTCCTAACCTGAAATTATCTACTTGCTAACCTGCTTATGGTGTGTTTCTCTTCGCTAGGGAAAGCTCCATGAGCAAGGATCTATGACGCCTGTCTTGTTCTCATCTTTCTCACTTCTTCCCTCAAGTAGTTTCTGAAGTTTTGCCTCATCTACAAAATCTTTGTGAGCTTAAAGGCTATGAGGGAATGTCTCTCTTTGACCTGTTTTGAAGCCGTTGGTCTATTTATTTGTACATAAGAGAATATTTTTAAGTGGCTGTTCTTCTCCTTTATATCTATAAAACATCAAATTCTCTGAATATCAATGAACCTAATCACATTTGTGTAGTAGAAAAGCTGTTTTTTTTGCCAGGTGTGGTGGCTCAAGCCTGTAATCCCAGTACTTTGGGAGGCTGAGGTGGGTGGATCACGAGGTCAAGAGATACAAGACCATTCTGGCCAACATGGTGAAACCCTGTCTGTACTAAAAATACAAAAATTAGCTGGGCGTGGTGGCGTCCACCTGTAGACCCAGCTACTTGGGAGGCTGAGGCAGGAGAATTACTTGAACCTGGGAGGCAGAGGTTGCAGTGAGCTGAGATTGTGCCACTGCACTCCAGCCTGGTGCCTGGCAACAGGGTAAGACTCTGTCTCAAAAAAAAAAAAAAAAAAAAAAAAAAGAAAGAAAGAAAAGCTGTTTTTTCATAGTTGGTTCTTTTTTAAAATTAAAAAAAATTTTTTTAATTTCTTAATGTATTTTTATTTATTTTTGAGACAGAGTTTCACTCTATTGCCCAGGCTGGAGTGCAGTGGCATGATCTCAGCTCACTGAAACCTCCACCTCCCAGTGTTTCTCATGCCTCAGCCTCCTGAGTAGTGGGATTACAGGTGCTTGCCACCATGCCTGCCTAAGTTTTTGTATTTTTAGTAGTGATGGGGCTTCACTATTGTGGCCAGACTAGTCTATAATACCTGGCCTCAAGTGATCCACCCACCTTAGCCTCCCAAAGTACTGAGATTACAGGCGTGAGCCACTGTGCCCAGCCCTTAGTTGGTTCTTTTGAAATGTTCCTCTACTTAATAGGCCATGCTGATGGCATTTCCTTTACACTCTCCTTTTCATATATTTATCAGCCATCAAAGGCTTTTCTTACTGATTGGAACTTAATGGAACGATGTTTTTGTTTCTTTACCAACAAATGAACACAAGTGGCTTTCGAAGATACTCCAAGAAACAGTGAGCTGCAGGAAAGATTTTATTCTTCAGGTATGATATATTTTGGTAATTAAGGAGTCAATTCTTTGGCTAAGTGCTGAAAGAAAAATGATAATTATTGTGTAGGATAAAGCTGTGAGTTATAGAATACTTTCAACTCTGTTTAAAATCTAATTAACATTAATTTTGTTTCATTAATTTGCCCTGTGAAAATTACTAACTGTATACAAAATGATATTTAATCTTCCTAATGGAGGTCTAGTGTATTCACTTCAGTCCTATTCATAGGAATGTGATTTGAAATGGCAAAGTAAGTTATAGTTACATTGAAAGTAATGAAGTAATTTTTACCTAAAACTAATTTATTAACCATCACATTGTAATTAAAATACTCTCTTTTATATAATGTTCCTGCTTTTAAAGTACCTTTGTGTATGTGTGTGATATACATATCTATATGTATATATATATGTGAATTCCCACAGCATCCTATGATATAAGCAGAACTACTATTCTTTCTTCTCATACTTATGTGTAATGGAGTTTCCATGAGGTTTAAAAGCTTCCCCTGTAACATATGGATAGCGGATCGTGAAGTTCATAATTTGTGACCTTATTAAGTTCTAATTACTAGGGATATTTGTTGTTTTAGTTTGCTAGGGCTGCCATCACAATGCATCAAGATTGAGTGGTTGGGCCAGGTGCTGTGGCTCATGCCTGTAATTCCAGCACTTTGGATAGCCAAGGTGGGCAGATCACAAGGTAAGGAGATTGAGACCATACTGGCCAACATGGTGAAACCCTGCCTGTACTAAAAATATAAAAATTAGCTGGGCGTGGTGGTGTGCACACCTGTAATCCCAGCTACTTGGAAGACTGAGGCAGGAGAATTGCTTGAATCTGGGAGGCAGAGGTTGCAGCCACTGCACTCCATCCTGTGTGACAGAGACCAGCCTGGCCAACATGGTGAAACCTCATCTCTACTTAAAAAAAAAAAAAAAAAAAAAAAGGAAACCCTGTGTAAGGATGCTAAATGACTTGAGGACTTGTCCAAAGTTATACAGCTATTAAGTAGTAGAACTGGAATGAAACCCAGGTTCTCAGGCTCTGGAACTTTTGATCAGCAGGCCATTAGTTCTCAATGGGTGGACTCTAGTTTCTGGCGAAGATGGAATAAGAGGGAAAGATTTACCCTCCAATGTAGAACAACTAAAATACTTAGCTAAACATGTAAAACAACTGATTTTACTATCAAGAAAAGAGAGTTTCTAGGCTTGATGCTGGGAATAGTTCCTGTCCTCAAATCATGGGACATGGGGTAGAATATTCAGAAGAATTTTGACTCAGTGGTGGGGAAAATTAGCTCTACATTAAGCTCAAAAGAAAGACCTGAAGGGGTCAAACTGTTTCTAAGTTGAAGAGGAAATGGAATAAATATTCACAAGTCACTGTCATCATCATGAAGGGACTCTGGATGTGAATCAGTAGCTACACAAGAACTTTCAGTGTCTCCCAGCATGGGAAGATAAAAATAGTTGCTTTTCATGTACAGAATTTAAATTTTGAATGTCATATATATGGCAGGATCAAATACATTAGTGTATGAGTGTTCCCAGTACTTCCCCTCATTACCCTACTGAAAAGAATCTATCCACCCAGTTTCTTGCCCTCCCCAGCATTTCAGAGAAAGTTCTGCCAGCCAGACTGGTTTGGAAAGAGGGTATTAAGAACTACCATGTGAATAATGAACACTCTTCACAGTGTATGATAACTGAAGTAAAGGCCTTGAGATAACTGTGGAATTACTGTTTGGTTGCTGGACAGTATTTGTTTACCTATTACACTATTTCAGATGAGCTATGTTAGTCATAGCTTTAACCAGATTATAGATTTACTGATTGGATAGATGTTTATTAAAAATTAACATCTGAGCAAATGGAAGGACTGGAACAGTACAGACAGTATATTCTGATTTTTATTAAAAAGAAATATGCCAAAACACTCTAAAATTTTGCCCCAAATATACCTGTCAATATACCAAAAGTGTACCATAAAGACTAACAGCCATATAAAATTCCTAAAAGGATATATACCAAGCTACTGGTAAAAGGTTATTTCTTTCTCTGGGGACCAGGATAGGGCAGGCAGAAGGCAGTAGGAACATGGCAAGGAGATTCTTTCACTTCGTATTCCATATATTTCTGAGTTGCTTGAGTTAAAACAAAAATTATAATTTGTCATTAAAAATAAAACTAAATATTAAAAATTACAAACTTCCCAGTGTTCACAATTTTTAAATATTTAACTGGAATAGTAAGTAACCAGCAAGTACTTAGAAAGTGCCTAGTATTTATTATTTCTACCATTCCAGAGAGCTACATTTGTGTTCAATCTGCTGACACTTAAATGTTTTCAAGGTAATCAAATAATAATTATTAAGATTCTCCTAATTTCTTTGTTAAAAATGGTTCATTTCAAGATTCTTTAGAATTTGCATTTATTTTGCGTTTTGTTGTTTCTTTTCTCTTAAAATAAAAACCAGCAGTCATTTTCATTACCCCTGATAATGTTCATGAATACTGCCTTGGCCTGTCTTCTGGTTTGGAAGCTTTTCAAGGGTGAATGGATATTTGTCTGGTGTTCCATGCATAACCTGTCCTTGTGCCACTTTTCCAGTGTGGCAGGAAGGGAACAGCTGTCATCTGTTCTGAGAATTCAGCACTGTGTCTGGCACTGTGGGAATTTACCCAGACTACTTTGGGGGAAGACATCTGATACTTCATGATAATTGTAGTTGTAAACCAGAAGGACATTGGAACTGGAGGAATTGAAGGGAAATATGACAAGGCAGTAAGACTTTGAGATTATTTTTGGAGGCAGGGCGACTTCAGCACATTTAAAAAGTTAGGTTTACTTATATATTGTTAGTATTATATTCTAAACCATAAGACATTTTCTAATAAGGATTCTAAGAGGGACATGTAAACCCAGATCATGTTTAAATAAGGTTACTGAAAATATTAATGAAACCAATGACTGAGAATTTTATAAATGAGAACTGCATTGCTTTAAGTTGGAAAAAAGCTGCAAGTAAGACAATATATTTCTTTATTTGAAAGCTCTTGTCTTATATGAGGGACATTGACAAATGAGTGTTGAGAAAATGGTGTTCTAGGTGCTATAAGGGCTTAGGTACATAAATTAATGTTTTATTAACCATAAAAATAAGCATAAAGGATTGAAATGTAGCCTTCATGTATCTATGTAAAAAAGAGGCAGAAAAAAATCCTCAACACTCTAGAGAAGCTTAGTTTCTGATCAACCACTACATATACTAATATATTCACATATAATCCGGACTGAATGTTAAATAACAAAAATCATGTTCGTTTTTATATTTTGCTTTGCCTTTGGGACACAAAGTGATGGAGTAAGTTATTTAGCGCTGCTCGTTTCTGGTTAGAAGAACACTAGAACCACCTAGTGGATTTTTCATTTATTGCAGGATCCCTACACTTTACTACTGCTAAACTGTAATTGCTGAGATAAGCCCTAAAGTAAAATCAGTGGTTATAATCTCTTTGTGGGTCATAATAGAAATAGTAATTGTTAATCTTCAACAGACAAAGCTGTCCCTGAGTCCTTGAAGGGAAGTCTCTGCCCAACAAATGCTCCCCAACTAGCACACTGTTGCATCTAGAAGCAGAGGCATTTAAACATTTGGCTGCGGAGATAAACTGTGCAACTGGAGCTTTAAATTTCCTGTGAAAGTCAGCGAGCAAGGTAAACTGCAGCAATTCATCTGCATTCACGGCAGAGTCAGCCTTTCAGTGAGCAAGAGTTGGGAACTCTGCAGAGCACAGCCAAGGGGCTACGCTAGCCGCTTGACCTTTATAAATCTGTGGGCACACAAACTGGCGTTTCTAATCAATTTTGTTTTTGGAGCAAAGTAGCTTATATGGTTACAGCATGCCCTGGCCATTCTGTTTCTCACCACTGAACCAGCTGGGTCTCCACATCTTGGTTGACAGATGTTATGTATATTATATTGGGATTTGGGTCATGGACATAGCAAATATTCTGGGAAAGAATACTTTGGTAAAATGCAAAAGATTATAAAATACCAAACTTTAGTAAATCCTGATTCTAGGTCAAAGGTTGACTCCTCATATCTATGATTTATTAGGCATCAAAAGAAAAAAGTCAGGATCTAAGGGGAATGGAAACGTTTCTGCTCTTCTAACCTAAGAGCTGGTCTCATTGTCTCCTAGTAAACTATCTGCTCAGCAGATGGATGCGTTTGGCTACAAGGTTGGTGCTTTCCAGTCAGCACTGCGCGTGAAGGGCATGTAGTTGGGCTGGTTTCTCCAAGGCTGCATGGCTTGGGTTGACTATAACCAGGAGAAACACGCAGTGGCTACAACTGCTTCTAACAATTCTCGTTTCATTCTCTCCTCCCACAGTGCGAAGGAGGCTAGATGGATACTCTCTGTGGCTTGAAA